ATTCACGACTATCATTATCACCATCACTCATTGTCAGCACCATTACCACCATTGTTGTTGCTAGCACATGGGGTAATATGATACTAGTGGTGGTGGTAGTGCTATTGACAAGAATGTCACCATCATCACAACTATTCTCACTAGTGTTATTAACACCATCATGTCACCATTGTCATCATTTATTGTTAATATCATCACTATTATTATCATTATCATTATTTTTGTTATTGTCGTCATCGTCCTACCATTATCATTGTTATCGATGACAAATGACAATAATGATAATATTAATGACAATAATAATAACAAAAATTGATGATAGTGATGGTGATAGTCATAAATAATCATCTCATATAAAATATATCTATAATTAATTTTTAATTTTAACTATTAATTATTTTAATTTATAATCTATTGACTATTCTCTAATAAAACATAACCCTGCCTTGCTCACTCTTTACTAAAGAACCTCGACACTAATCAATTTTGTAAGCTTCCCAAGGTTCTTCATCGCACCTGACACACTATACAATATCTCGTTTTGACATTTTCCTAAGCGTTGTTAGACCGTAGCAACTTTAGTCACTTATTGAAAGACAAAACCTTGGCTACAATAAAATCAACTTTATTTTTATTATTTATTATTTATTATTTATTATTTTTTTTACTTTCTGTAGCCATTGACAATCCAATTATTTCTATCAAATCAACGTGCATAAATAGTATTTTATAGATGGTTGATTTAGAAAATATTTTCAATTTATCCATGATTGTATTTTGGCAGAGGATCCAAGCATTAACACACCTTTAGTTTTAGATATTGAACATCTAAAGATTTTAATAACACTATAATTAAAAGAAACATTGGTGAGAAAGATCGAGAGTAATAAACATTAATTGGTGTACAGTAAAAGTGATTCTACTCGAAACAAGAATATGGCGCACGAGTCATGATTTCTATGATAAAATTGTATGATTTAATCATCTATACATTGTCAGTGTAAAATTTTTTACACTAACAATTAATTATATTTTTAAAATTATTTTATTTTATTTTTATTTCATTAAATAAGTAATTAACATGACAATATTAAAAAATATGATTGATTACCAATGTAAAAGAAACTTTACACTGACAGTATATAAGTGATTAACTCAAATTGTATTTATTAGTGAAAAAGACTGTATGTAGCATATTAAAATATAAGTATAGAAAATGATTTCCATGTTTGACATATATAGCAACAATTAATCTCCAAACAATTTATATTATCTCAAATTAAAAATAGATTGACAAAATAAGGCCAATCATTAAACTTTGAGAGGATAGAAATACTATTTTTGTATCTTAATATAGTTAAGAATTTAAAATGAAACACAATTGTTGTTTTACTATACCAAAGTTAATTTTTTTAAATCATTATTTTATTCTTTATACGTCATATAAATGATGATTATTTTCTTAATCAATAATTAAATAATGGTTAATATATCTAAAATTATTAATATTATTATCGATATTTATATAAAATATTAATAAAAACTCATTAAATTGTAAAAAAACTTAATTAAACTAAATACATATATAAAATAATGAATAATAAATATTAAATTTAAATAATTAATATTTATTGGTCACAAAATCATGTAATTTATGATTGATTTAATGACAATAACATCTTTTATCACCGAAAATTGTCATTAAAAATTATTTTTGTGATAATATTTGGATTTTTACCAATTTTTTTCATCGAAATTTTAGAGAGAATGAACAGCATTGTCAAAATGCTGAAAAGAATCAAGGGGAGGGGATTAAAACACACATAATAAACAATTAGCAACTTAAGATAGAAATTAGAGTCCACTTTTGCAAAAACAATAGCTGGTAATTAGAAACATCTTTCATATTTTTCTTGTATGGTATGCAAATTAGCAAACTCGACATAGAGGATGTTTGGTGCAGCTCTAAGAGGAAAATATATTCATAATTAATGGAAAACTATATTTTTGAAACTTTGTAGTAAAGATTTCTAGTACAGTATTCTTTACGTTTTCTGAAATCAGATACATAATTTAATTAAAATCTTTGAACTGTTTATAGCACACAACACAACACAATAAAGAACATTGTTACCTCTTCATTATTATAGATAAGGTGGTTGAAAACTTTGTACGCTCCAGTGCGTAATGCATAAAATTACTCGCATATTTTGGTAGTATCATAAGCACCAGGGGGTTTTCCCATTGATGTTTGAGTATTACCCTTTGCACTGTCTTCCCAACCAACTACATCATCAACAACAACAATACCTGCATGCAGAAGGTTGCTATGTAGTTTAATCTGTGAGTAACTTTATAAAATATGCACCAGAATTCGTATACACTTGTACATTGTTTATATATGAGATAGATTTTACTAATTACCTTGTGGTAGACCAGGGATTCCTACACCTAACTCCATATTTGAGCTTATACTTGTATATTTGCTTTCGATATCTCTCAAAAAACTTCGTTCTAATGAAAATATTCATGTGTTTTATATATTCACATTCTTCCTCTTATTTTAAAAATGTGAGAATCAGTGTTTTAAATTGCGGACTGCATCATGTATTGCGGCCGCAATATTGTAGTTGCGACCTTGTCTGCAACGGCATCGAATCACAATTGTGGTAAAACCAGAAATCACATATTTTTTTGCAACGTAATGGTGCTGCGTCTACAACACATCTGCAATGCACCGCAATATATCTGCAATACGACAAATTGATAAGATACAAATGAAAGTTAATTTAAGGAAGCGTAACATCCTTTTACCGAATCAGGATTTCCTTTGTCTGTTTTGCCAAAAGGAAGAGAAATCTACTAACCACATCATAATCTCTTCCAATTTTTCTTATTTGCTATAAGGTCACAATGTTACTGTAGTTTAGGAGTTGAAGTGGTGCTATCCATGAGCTCAAAGACTCAATAAATTCTTGCAACAATAGTGGTGATTTTAAAAGGAAGAAAATTGAGAAATTTATGGTGTTCTGTTTGGTTAATTGCTACAGTTTAGTTATTATGGTACATATAGAAATAGTATTATATTAAAAATTGAAGCACCAAACCAGAAGCATGTTTTGAGTTGATAAAATTTAGGTCTTGGTTGACCAACAAAATGATGAAATTTTCTTTTTCTTTCTTTGAGTGGTAAATGACCCCAATGATATGTTTGAAGATCAATAGGCAATTCTCATGTACGAGGATATGCAAGCTTCCATATTGAGTCACATATTATGTACTATGAAGGTGTACGAATAAGGATTGGGTACTCCTCATCCTTACTTACTGCGGTTGATCCAAAAAAATAATAAGGAAAGTGGCAACAACCTTCAGTCGTAGATGTTATTTCTATCAAATTTTGGCACCGGTGTGGAAAGCGAGGTGGACCAGATAGTACTAATTAACCTGTATGTTTTTTCCTGATGTTACCTCACTATCAAATCCCACAGCTTGCAGAAAATATATTCTTCATTAATGGAAACCTAGACCTTGAAGCTTTGTAGTAAATATTATATATTTTTTCCACTATTATATATTTTTTTCTTTTCACATAAGTGTCCTATGATTTTGCATTAGACTAATTTGACTCATCCAGAAAGTAAATAAAGTTTCACCAATATTATTTCTATCAATGCTGTAATATTAGTACAAAACATGGTTCTAAATTGCAATTGTTGTTGCGGTTACAATTACAGTTGTGGTCATTGCCATTGCGGATTACGGTTGCTGCAATGTAGATTAGAATACAGATTAGAATTGTTGCGGCGTATAATTATTATATATTTATATTAAATATAAACAAATAATTATATAATAATAAAAATTAATCAAATTTCTTTTTCTTAATTTTTCACTCCAAATTAGTTTTTTCCTTTTCTAAAATCCATCATGTATCCCTAAATTCCAACCAATTATTATTAGTTGTCTCCTTCCTTCTCTTGACATCCCTTGTGACTAAAATTATTAGATTAAAAGATTAAAACTTGAATTTATGTATTTTTTGAAGAATAAAAGTGAAATAAAATAATATTGTGGATATATATTACAGTTATGTCGAGGTTATGTTGCCATTGTATTACAAAATTTCTGTACACCATAATTGCAAGCAGTTGTGGTTGCGAAAAACACCGCAAATGCGCAACACGGGTTGTGGACAGCAATTTAGAATCTTGGCACAAAAGTATTTTCTGATTCTGATTACTCACTCCCTTTCTTTCACAAGTAATTGTCAAAAAACTTCCTTTTCAAAAGTCTGTATCTAGTAAGTGTAAGTCTTATCCCCTATGATTTATGTCCAAAGGTGTATTCATGGGCATATATATACATATATATCATACCACAGCTCATAAAATCGAATTCCAAATCGTTCCATCGATGTTTCAGGTAGCAAGATGACTGCCAATTTGAAGTTTCAAGATACACAAAATTAAATTTATACTTCACACACTCATACACAAGCCAAAAATGAAAAAATAAAATAAAATGAAAAAGTCTTTCAAAATTAAAACACGCAAAGCCAGTGTTTGGTGTTCTGTAGCTGAGAGGGTAACGCTAGCCATTGACGGATTCGTCAGATCAGTGGTGAAGTTGCCATAACATCAACTATACACTATTCTTTAATTACTTAGTATAATGACTTACCAAATCAGATACATAATCTAAAATCTATGAACTGCAATGCATCTGCAAGTAACAAATATGTATACCACAACACAACGCAACACGAAAATGGTAAGGTAACACTACCACCAAAACATTGATGGATCCGTCAGTTCAGTGGTGAATTTGCCAGAAAATGTTCAAAGCAAATAAAATATGATCAAATATTGTTTAGTAATGACTTACCATATGGGATACAGATACAAAATCTAAAATCTATGAACTGTTTAATGCATCTGCAAGTAACTAACATACCACACAACAAAACGCAACACAAAAATGAACAATTGCCTCTTTATTATTATAAATAGGGTTAATGACAACAATGTACAAAGCACACCCCAGTGCTAATTACATAAAGCCAGCTACAAATCAAGTCACATAACAATCTGAAGGAGCGAGCAACCTTCCGATGTCGCTGCTTTTGTTCTTGTCGGGAGGGAAAACAAGGCTCAGAGGGTAACACTCGAGCCTGAAAGAGCGAATCCTAGTGCGCACGATGCCATGCCACCAAAACCTAATACTAGTCACAATCGCCACTCCAAAATCGACCGTACCACGAGCCCGTTGCGCAGCGATGCCCTTCACCAAACCGCTCGGAAACACCTTGTGGGCCACCTCGAACCGGGCCTGGACCGAGCCCTCGGTCATGGGCTCTTGCCAGCGTGGGCTGATGGAGCCCGAGCCGATGCGGTGGTGGTTGAACCAGCCCACCACCTCGAGGCTGTCGTAGGATATGCCGAGATTGGGATTCGGATTTCGTATGTAAACGGAGACGTCGAACGTCGCCGTTAACGTCGAAGAGTTGGTGATGGTGGTGTTTAGTGATGACACGTCAACGGCGTTCAGATGGAAGAGAGGGAAGTGGGGTTTGATGACGACCCAGAGAATGATGATGTCGGCGATGACAGCGACAACGATCAAGGAAACTATGGCGGCGAAGAACACGTTGACGGAGATTTTGAGCATCTTAACGAGTGTGGGTGAGGGTCCACGTGGGCGTAGGGGTACCCTGTTTGCGACTGGGATTGGGATTGGAACCGCTGCCATGGGAATTGGAGAAATTTGGAAGGGAAGAGAACTAGAGAAGGAGCGTTATGCAACTCGACGTTGGTGAGTGGAGTGTGTCAACTTTCGCTCTTTATGCGAAAATCAGTGCAAAGTTTTGTACTATATTTATGCATACTAGTTTGCATGTTAGATTAAGGTTTTGTGTGTTTGCCAACTGGTTTAATTTATGATGCTTTTATTGCTTTAATAAATAACTTATGTTTCGAATTAATTTCAGATACATTGAGTAATGAGAACGATGACGAAGAGTGGTGACTTTCATAGCCTAATTTGTGTCTATCTCTTTTTCCTTATTGTCAAACATGTCATTAATCCTTTAACTCTCTTCACTGTTTTTTCGCAAGGTGTAAATACTTTTTGGGTGTCTTAAAATCTTTTTTCAATGATAAATTTATTCATGATATCAAATGTTGGAATTGATTATTTTTCTATAACTTTTGTTAGTGTTTTAACTTATTGTTTTTCTAGAAGATTGACTTCTCCATGTATTTTTTAAAAAAGTAATTGGGGGAACTTATGTTAAGTGGTAGTTTAAAGGCGAGTGGAGATAGGAGAGTTTTAGCCATGACGGTCGGTGACGGTTTTGATCTTTATGCAGAAATGAGTGCAAGCACGACAGGTGTGTACTAGCTCTTAAATATATATTCCGACAATTTTACATGTTAGATTATACCAAAGAAAAAATTTTAATCCTGCGAAAGATATGAAAAATAAAAAATAAAAACAAACGAACACACATAATAAAATTTATACGGTAAATTTAGTGATAAACGTTTATTATGTGAATGGATGATTCAGCCATTCACATAAGATATAATATAACTTTATATTAAATGTTGCTTTTATTACTCTATTAAATTAAATAATATTTCTTTTATTTTTTATTATAAAAGAAATTAACTTTATGTATATTAAAGAGATTAGTTATTTGTGTTAAATTTTACTAATTTTATAATATTTTTTTAAAATTATTTTTATTATAAATGTCAAAATGAATAATATAATTAAAAAAATTATGTATTAAAGAAGAAATATTTTTAAATAAATTATTCTAAATTATTTTTAAATTTTACTATCATGATAATATTCTTGTTAAATTGATTTTACTATAAATGTCAAAATAAATAATGTAATTGAAAGAACATATATTAAAGAAAAAATATTTTTTTAGAAAAATATAATTAAATGATATAAAAAAATAGTTGAAATTTATTTATATTTAAGAATAAAAATTGCATATCTTTTTTTTATAATAAAAAATAGAGAAAGTATTCATTGAATGAGATTTAAATGCATAATAAATATAATAAATAAACTTATTCAAAGTATTAAATGCTTATTTATAAATGAATGAGAAAATAGTTTATTTACTAATTGTGGACATTAATTTTAAATTGCCATTCTATTACAAATATGATATTTTTTATTTTAAAAATCATGTGAATAATGATTTTGAATTGATTGACACACTACTAGAAAATTTTCATTTTTCTGCGAATTTTTCTAAAAAAAATATTTGCATAATTTTTTTTGCGAATTTGCTTCCAATAATAATTTCGCAAAATTTTTTACGAATTTATTTGCAAAAAAATAATTTATAAATATTTCTTACAAAAAAGTTTTGAAAAATAATTTACAAGAAATTTTCGCAAATTTTGCAATAATTTTAATGATCATAGAGATTTTTTTCCATGGTAAAAATTTGCAGAAAATATTGTAAGAATTTTATTTTATTTCTTGTAGATTTTTTTGCAAAAATAAATTCGCAAAGTAATGTTTACTAAAGGGTAGAAAAATTTTGCAGGTAACTTTTCCTGTAAATTTTCTTGCAAATTTTAATCCACAGGAAAAATAAAATAAAATATTTAAATTTATAAGTTTAATATTTTAAAAAAACTTCAAGTCCTACATCGATGAAAATAAAATAATTAAAGAGTATATAAGTTAAGGTAACACTTACCTTACAAGTTGATTTATATGGTTGAGTGTTAGGCTTATAATCTTCAATCTTAGAATTTAAAAGATTATAGTAATTTCTTTATTTTTTTCGTAAAATATATTCCTGCAGAAATTCTTGCGAAAAAATTTGCAGAAAATTTTTCTGCGAATTTTTTTTGTAGGAAACTTTCTTGCAAATTTTTTTCGCAAGAAATTTTGCAGGAAACTGCGAATTTTAAAATTTGCAAAAATATATTATCCACGAAGATATTACATGCAAATAAAATTTCGCAGAAAAATTTGTAGGAACAACATTTTCTGCAAATTTTTCATAAAAATTCGCAGGAAAAGTCACATGTAATAAGAGAAATTCTAGTAGTGACATTGTAAAAATTTTAAATTGATAATACATAATTATTAAACTTTAAATAAATATTAGTTTTTAAATTATTATTTCTAGAAGATTGACTTCTCCGAGTATTTAAAAAAAAATAATTGTAGAACTTATTTTCAGTGATAAAGTTTTAAGTAATGTGCTTTTTATACTTAAAATTTCTAAACACTCAAGTGATATTCTTTATTTATTTTTATTTCTCTCTTCTTGTTATATCACATCACTAATTATATCAATCACATTTCATTTTTGTAAGGTGTTTATACCGATGGTTGTCGAAAAATCATTTCCCTTTAAATACTCAAATAGATCATTTCTAACTTTTTGTTCAATGGACCTTCCTTTAATGGAAGTCGATTTCATTTTTGAATTGGTTTAAAATAGAAAAAAAAACATTACTAAAATTTCTCTTTATTACATATGATTTTTCCTGCGAATTTTTATGAAAAATTTGTAGGAAACGTTGTTTCCGTAAATTTTTCGGCAAAATTTTATCAGTAGGTAATATTTTCGTGGATAATATACTTTTGTGAATTTTGAAATTCGTAGGAAATTTTCCTGCGAAATTTCTTGCGAAAAAAATTCGCAAAAAAGTTTCTTGCAAAAAAAAAATTTGCAGGAAAGTTTCCTGCAAAAAAAATTTTGCAGCAAAATTCGCAGGAAAGTTTCCTACAAATTTTTTCGCAAGAAATTTTGTAAGAATATTTTTTACAAAAAAAATTAAAAAAATTACTATAAATTTTATCAATACTTTTTCAACTTTTAAATGCTCACAATAAATTCATCTGAAACATTTGTTTCCATGCCACCAACATGTGATACATAATCTTTTAAATTCTAAGACTGTAGATTATAAGTCTAACACTCAACCATACAAATCAACTTGTAAGGTAAGTGTTGCCCCCAACTTATATACTCTTTAATTGCTTTATTTTCATCGATGTGGGACTTGAAGTTTTTTTAAAATATTAAACTTATAAATTTAAATATTTTTTTTCCTGCGGATTAAAATTTGCAGGAAAATCCGCAGGAAAAGTTACCTACAAATTTTTTCTACCATTTAGTAAACATTACTTGCGAATTTATTTTTGCAAGAAAATATGCAAGAAACAAAATAAAAAAATTTTCTGCAAATTTTTACCATCGAAAAAAATTTCTATGATTATTAAAATTGTAGCAAAATTTGTAAGAAATATTTGTAAATTATTTTTCGCAAATAAATTCTGCAAATATTTTTTTGCAGGAAAATTTGCAAAAAGGTTTTGTGAATATTTTTGCAAGAAAATTCGCAAAAAAACTTTTACAAATATTTTTTTATAGAAAAATTCGTAAGAAAATGACACTTTTCTAATAGTGAAATTATATAACTCATTGATGTTATTCTTTAATTAAAATTAAAGGTTTATTTTATTAATATGCATGAATGTATATTATTAATGTAAATCTCTAATTTTAACTAGAGAACAACATCAACAGCATATAAGAAATCATACATAGGTTTTATTCTAAAAAATATACTCTCTCAGCTATTGCATAATAAATGTCACGTAAAGAAGCAAAAATAAGCTTGAAAATAATTGTTATTACCTTCGTTCACATTTATAAGACCTAACTTCAAATAATTGTTTGCTTTTCTATATAAATCTCAATTTAGTAAAAGACATTAATTATAAACTCTTTAAAAAATATATGTTTTAATTAGTTAAGAGAAATATGAGTATTAATTAAGAGAAATAAATAATATACACAAGCACTTTAATTAATTAGATGACATATAAGTATTAATTAAGAAATATAAGTAATATTTAGGATAGTTTTAGAAGAATATATATATATATATATATAGACAAAATTATTATTATCAAGTAAATTAATTAACTATTTTTTAATCTTAGTGAATTATATAATTGAATCTTATATAAAAAAATAAAAGTAATATTTAATTTTTTAATATAACATTAATTATTTCTTTTTTATTTATATTACTAATAATATTCTTTAGAAAGTTAATACTACATTGTATTATTTCTTACAAAGAAGACTAATAACAAGATTAATTTTACAAAATTATTATTATTATTTTATTTCTTTATTAATTTTTCTTGTTTTGTGTAAAAAACAAAAAAAATTAGAATGACACTTATAATAAGATCAAGAGAGATTTTTTAAATTTAAGAGAAAAAGTCTTATATTTAATATTAATACTGACAAAGAGAAAAAATATGTATCTGTAAAAAATGTATAATATATTCTTCATTTTTTTATTTATATAGTTAAGATAATGCTGCAAAGCATTTTAACAATTTTAAAATCGTGTAATTCTAATCTCAATTCTCTCGCAATTCCTTTTTAATAATGGAATCAAAATTAACGTAAGTCCTATTTTTTATTTTCAAACTAATGACAAAAAGACTCTATGTTTCTATATTTTATTCATTAAAAATATTTAAAAATTATTAATATTTGATAAATTAATTAGTGTTACAGTTAATTTTTAAATTTAAAGATCTTTGTAACATCCCAAAATTTTATTTTTATGTATTGAGATTCCCTAATCTAATCCTATCTACGCCCCGATGTCACATGTCCTATCAGAGCAAAGCCCACATAGAAGCCTAAGCTTCATCACCAACATCCTCAGCCTCATGCTGATAATCACCTGTATAAAGGTCAAAGGAAAGAAACACAAAGAAAAGGGAGTGAGAAACATCTCACTCGGCTCACAGTGT